GTACTTCTAGCTTTTTCCACATCATCTGTCACTATGTTCGCCTCCCCCATTCAGTAAGGGTCCCACACTTTCCCTGACCACCTTCTTGTTGCTAACATACCTGGATAAACCCTTTTTGTTACCCTTCACATCTTTTGCTAGCTGCAACTCCAGTTGTGCCTTGGCCTTCCTGATTACACCCCACATGCTCTAGCAATGTTTTTGTACTCCTCTCTAGTTATCTGTCCAAATTTCCACTTCTTGTAAGCTTCCCCTCCTCCTCTCTGTAGGTGAACACGGCAGCAATCATTGACATTTTGGGATGGAGGGGGAACAGATCGAGGACCTTGTTTCCTTCTCCCTGCCCTACCAGCCTGTGACCACTTCCTGCCTCCCTACTATACCCCTGCATCCACTAAAGGTGGCTAGGCACAGCTCTGCAGGTTTCGGCCAAAATGATCAGCAGCAAAGCAGTTATTGACATTTAAATAGCCATCATTAGGTATCAGAGCTCTCACTTCCCAGGGAGGAACTGTTCACACCTCTCTGAGCGCTTGGTTCAGGCTTCTGTAGAGTCAGAAGAACAGAACTGCCTCAGTTTGTGTCTTTTTCGTACCTGGGAAGTTCCTTTCACACCCCGAAGGGTTGGAGAGTGATTTAGTTTTGTTAATGAAAGCTTAGGCCTGGTCTACACTATAGACCTAGAGCGATATAACTGCATGGCTCAGGGGTGTTAAAAATCCACCCTCCTGAGTGATACAGATGTACCGACCTAACCCTCCGTGTAGAGAGTGCTATGTCAGCGAGTAGTGGATTAATTAAACCAGTGGTTCTCAACCTTTTTTCATGAGAGGATTGTGTCTCTCGGGTCAGTGGTGGAGTAGGGTCCTTGCCTTGGAATCGTTGAGAGCTCAAGGTCCTGGATATATTCTAAATCTCTTCCTTTGCTTCTTGTCTTCTGCCCATGACTGTGACCTGGATCACTTAAGAGCCTCATGTTAATCTACTAGTTAACATTTGTCCACAGTTCTTCCATATAAGTTGAGGAGTGTGTTTCTGGGTTAGTTTAACTCTTGAGGGGAGCTATAAGGCTCTGCAGCCAGCAACAAGAATTCACTTTGCTGCAGTAATCGCCCTGAATTGCACAGCTTGGAGTCATCTTCATGTGAGTACAAAATGGAATTTGTAAGTCAAAATATCCCCCTTTCAGAGCTATGTGTTTCCTGGGCCTGACAGGTAGGAACATGGCTGCAGCCAAGTGCAGAGCTCTGAAACCATTGCAGACTTGCTGGGCTTTTCTTGCCTTGCCATTGGGTTGAGCTGGTAAATGGATCTTGTATCTCTCATTCTATTCTGTGCAGGTGGCCTGTGTCTTTGAATCCAACAGTTTTTTCAGCGCCTCCCGTGACAAGACAGTCATGATGTGGGAGCTACACAGGAACTCGGGGCCGAGCCAGCACTTCCCAGGACATGACTTGGTTGTAACTGGACTGGCGGTGAGCCCAGGTGAGGCCCAGCTGACTCCTACTGCTGGCAGCTGCAGTAATGCTGGTTTCTCTGCCCTCTCTTACATAAAGTCATTGTGGTTGTAGATTCTTTACAGCTGTGCACAGGTTCACGGGACAACACCATGTGCAAGTGGGACATAGAGACCGGGGAGTGTCTGCGGAGAGCTGCCATCTCCAGGAATCTGGTAAGAGCAGATGTCCCTGTTTGCCCTAGAATGGCAGCTCCCTACCCACTGGCTCGTGTGCATGTGAATCTATGCAAAGGGGAAGCTATTTTTGCTGCTGCCCTAGCAGCGATGCAGTGGTTTCCTTGTGCATGTGGTGAGAGCAGGCCTTGCCCCCCACACAAACTCCAGTTGCATGTTTCATTAATGCTCTGACCTCAGGCAGGCCAGGGCAGTAGCCACTGAAAGCTATTCACAATGGATGGCACTTCAGGGGCCCTGGTAACTGGAAGTGGTGGGTCCACCTCACCAGATGCCCAGTTTGCACTGATCAGCATATTTGAAAGAAGCCTCTGCAAGGAGGCCAGTGGTGAGAGGGCACATTCTCTGCCTCTCCAGATAATGGCAAAACCGCAGAGCGTGTGGCTGGTACCTGGGAGGTGTCTATCCTGGGTGCACTGCAGCGTTTGCTTCCCAGTGCTTTATCTGGCACATCTACCAACCTAAAACTCCCCTGGGGAAACCCAGTGGTGCAGGTGTAACCCAAAGCTCCAGGACATGGACCCTAGCTTTCCAGAATGACTAAGGTGAATTTTAGAAGAAGCCTTTCACACTGGGTCCCAGCTTGATCAACCAGGAATCCCAGCAAAAGTCCTAAGCCTAGCACTCAGGCCATTGGATCAGAGGCAGCCTGGAGTGAATGGGTGTAACTACCTGGGGGAGCGTGGGTCACACTCAGCAGTGACTTCCGTGCTGAGGAAATTGAATGTGTCCTGGACACCTTGGACTTGTTGGAAGTGAGGTCCCTGCCCCAGAGTGCTCAGTGGACAATGCAAAACGAGAGGAGCAACAATGCAACAGCATTTTAGCGTAATCCTGCCCACATCCCCAAGAGCAGGAAGAGACCCCAGCAGGAGGGTGTGAGGTAAAGCAGGCTTCAGCTTCCATTCCATCATCTCTGCACTTCAATTACTGCATTGGTGACATCTACTTGCAGCACACGTGCTGTTCTGTCACTGCCACCCACTTTCTTACCCGTCATTTAAGACCCTACTATAGCGTCTGAGAGCTGTGATAGTGCAACACTGATTTGCTGTCACGTCAGTGTGATCATTGTACAAAGTAGTAATTGTGATAACCTGTTGCACGTGTAGCCCCCTTGTCTGCCATTGCCTGGCACATGAGTTAAGCCTCATGGCTCCTCATGTGAGGCAGGGTATGTCCTATCCCAGGGCCGGATTAACTTTTTATGGGCCCGGCGCCAAACATATTTGTGGGTCCCCATGGGGGAAGGTGCAGGGTGGTGGGATGGTCAGTCTCCAGAGTGAAGGGCAGGCTGGGGGCAATGAGGCACAGTGTGGCAGGAGCAGCCCCACTCCGCGCAGCCCAGCAGGAGGACACTGTTTAGAAACCTGCAGCTGCCAGACGCACACTGGTCTGCCCAGCCCTGTGCTGCCAGTGGGCCCATTCCCCTTGGGGGTGGGCCTGCACCACACCGCCCCTCTGCCCAGCGCCCCACCCTTATGTCCAGTGCCTCTATGACTAGCCCTCACCCCTCCCAGAGACCTCTGCCGCTGGCCTCCCACCACAACTGCACAGCACCCTGCACACCACACTGCTCGCCCTGCGCCCCTTGCCCATAGACCTCCCCACTGCCCACCACCTTCCTCACAGTCCCGCCATCACAGCTGCATAGCACCCCATATTCCTGAGGGGATTCTGCACCAAAAAATTAAAAATTCTGTGCACGGTATTTTAAAATTCTGCAAATTTTATTTGTCAATAAATAAATCTGGAGGCTCCAACGTGGCAGTGGAGAGCACAGGCCACTGGTTGCATGGAGGTGGGAGATCACCATGCAGCCTCCTCCCACCCCACCCCGGGATAGGGACTCAGCAGTGAGGCTGCATCCAACCATGACACAGTGCAAGGGCCAGGTCTGCCACAGAAACACCCTGGGCCCCTGCCCCCATGTGCCAGGCGCACCAGGTGTGGGAGAGCAGGCTCAGCCCGGCAGCAGGATCCCAGTGCAGAGGGACTTAGTGTGGGGGGATCCAGGTGGGGATAAGAGAGTTCTCTGGGGGGCAGTCTGGGTGTGGGTGGCTCAGTGGGAGATTTGGATGCACAGAAGCTCATTGGGGAGTTCCAGGTGCAGGGGCAATGGGACTCTGCAGGGGATCCAGGTGAAGGTGTTTGGGGCTAGTGGGGGGGGTGTCTAGGTGCAGGGGAAGTGGAGTTTATTTGGGTGGGGGTCCAGGTACAGGTGGTTGAGGCTCAGTGGGGAGGGTGTCTGGGGGGGGGGGGCTCATCAGGGTGGTACAGATGCAGGGGAGGTGGGGCTTGTTAGGGTGAGGGTTCGATGGGCCTGCTTAACAGGGAAGCCCCAGCTTCTGCCAAGGGGATTCAGCATGCTGGGCTCCAGCCCCCCTCCCCCCCCGCCTCTGCTTCCCCCATCCTCTTCCCTTCTCCTCCCATGCTCCTTCCCCACTGCTCCATTTCCCCAGGCTTGGGAGGCAGGCAGGAAACCGCCCCCCAGCACTCACTGGTGGAGTGGAGCGGGTTGGGACCGGGTCGCTCCACTTCCTCCCACCTGATGATTTGGAGGGCGGGCCCGACCCCGCACTCACTGGGCAGCAGGAAGTGAAGTGACCCGGCCCCAGCACCCTCCTCTCTGCTCCGGTGGCTGGGTGTGCCCGATCCCTGCTGCAGTCTCCCAGGGCGCTTAGCTCAGGGGAGAGGGCTTGGGGGGCAAGGGGTGGGGGCAGCTTTCCTGGCCATCTCAGCCGGCCGGGGCATTGGGCTGGCCGGCGCCACTTCTGACTCTGGGCCTGGCGCCATGGTAAACCCGGTACTGCTGGGCAGACTGGGGCACTGAAGGGTTAGGGCCATCCCTTAGCCCATTGCGAAATCAGGCTCCAGGTGACTTGCCCAAAGGCAGAGAGTTGAAATGAGTCAGGACTAGAACCTGAACTCCCACTTCCCACTCCGCAGCACAAAAGTGGCTAGACTGGGTCAGACTCAATGTCCAGCTAGCCCCGTCTCTTGCCATCGACAGCATGCAGTGCCAGCTACTTGAGAGGGAAGGGCAGGAATCCCTGTAGAGAACAATGTGGAGTAACCTGACCATGGGGAAGCTTCTTTCTGACTCCCTTAAAGGTGGTCTCATGTCCTGAGACAGGAGGGTTTTCGATTACCCATAGAAATGTCCCGTTGGGATTTTGTGTAGGGCAGTTTAACGCTACAAGAGCCCGTACCTACTGACCAAGTCCCCTCTCCTCCTTCGTTGCACCTCAGATCACACACTGGCTACTAAGGGAGCAGCATTGATGGGATCCAGAGGTAGCTCCGCCCAGCCCTCCTGGCTCCAGTGATGGCTGCTTGGGACAGAGGATGGCTGGGCCCCAAGAGCAGTGTATGTTGGGCAGGGGTTCGTTTGGGCTGTGGTAGGTGGACAGGATTCTGGTACTTATTTCCCTTCGGCAGGTAACACACCTGTGCTGGGTTCCTGCAGAGCCGTATGTCATCCAGACGTCAGAGGATAAAACAATCAGGTAAAGCCTAGCAGTGGGAACCAGCTGCAGAGGTGAGACTTGGTGTATTCAGGAGAACGTGGGTGAGGAGTCCCAGAGCTTTGTAAAACCATCCCATGGACAGTGCTGGTGATTAGGCCTGTTGGTGGGATGGGGGCTGCTAATGGCCTTGGACTGCAGAGCTGCTCACTTGGGTCCAGAATGAGTGCCTCGGCATCCCCAGACCAGTGCACTATGGTTGTCGGGCGCCTTTCTCCTTCACTGGGTGGGCGGCAGTGGCATCTTTCATTCCTCAACCCATCTTTTGGCAGGCCAGGTGTTTCTAACCCTGGTGAGGAAGTAGATACACCAATAGAGTACTTCATTACTGCTTGAATTGGGGTAATAAGGAGGTTATTGTTTGGAGTCCGCAGCACAAACCACAGCAGGGAGTGGCTTTCTAGGTTAGTGAAGTTGTCTCCCAAGCTCTGTTGTTAGAAGCAAACCTTGTGCTAACCTCATATTTTGTGGAGAGCATGATCTACGGTGGGGTAGCGCATGATCAGGGCACCAGTGCTGTGAGCAATACCACTTGCCACTGGGTGGAAGCTACGTTAGTATTTGGCATGGCTTTGTCATCACTGATCAATATTATTACCATTGCTAGTAAGTTTGCAGACAGCATACGTGATACGCAGCAGAGCAGGAGGGTGACCAGCTATAAGAGGAGCAGTGTCCAGGGCTGCCCAGCCCTCTCCCAGGCAAAGGGAGCCACCAGCAAAGAAAAGAAACCGGCATTTCAAAGTGGCCAAGATGGAAATCCCCATGCAGCCGAGCTACAGGGTGGGAGATGGATGAGGCAAAGGGAATGGGGCTGAAAACATGTTGTGGTCTGAAGGGGGAAGTGTTGTTGTTTAACATGAGTATTTCAGTAGCTTCTCCTCAAGGCCCCAACCAAGACTGGGCCCTTTGTGCTAGGCCCATGGAGCTTGCAGGCATGGAGGCTAGATCTCAAGGGAGGAATGACTCTAGCTTGGGTGGAGGGAAGGAGGGCTCTGGTTCACACACGTGGAACACCACAAAGAACTAGAGAATTGGCAGGTCTGGGCCAGAACATGGGGATGAGTCATGGAGCTCGGTAACCTTTGAAATAGAGGAGAAGAGGCCCAGGCTGGAGGTGTGAAGAGATTGGGTTGTGCATATTGTCATGAGCATGCATCAAAATAGCCAGCTTGCATTCTCTTTTGTAGAGTCTGCCCCAGTAACTGGCCAGACGGTGCGAGGAGTTCAATCACTATATTAACTCTCCCTCGCTTGTTCTTTTTTCCTCCTTTCCAGGATCTGGGACAGCCGGGAGCTGCAGGTGGCCCATAGGTTCCCGGTAAAGCAGTATATTCAGACCTACTGTGATGTAAGCCAGGATGGCCGGTATTGCATCAGCAGCAGCAATGGCTTTGGTGGGGAGGGCTGCGAAGCCACAGTGAGTTTTCTGGCTGGGCAGCAAATTGCTGCTTGTTCTAGATCTCTCCAGAAATTGATACCTATAGATGGTAACCTGTCTCGCAGGCAGCAGGGCTCAGCGGGTTCACGTTGGTGCTCTGAGAGCAATCCTGCCAGGAAGTGCAGCCTGTGCGCTGGACTGGCTTTAGCCTTGGTATTACCTGTCCCCCACCAAAGGCTCTTACGTAAATTAAATTGTCATAGGATAAGAGGGAAGATCCTTTCATGGATTGAGAACTGGTTAAAAGACAGGGAACAAAGGGTAGGAATTAATAGTAAATTTTCAGGATGGAGAGGGGTAACTAGTGGTGTTCCCCAAGGGTCAGTCCTAGGACCAATCCTATTCAACTTATTCATAAATGATCTGGAGAAAGGGGTAAACAGTGAGTTTGCAGATGATCCTAAACTGCTCAAGATAGTTAAGACCAAAGCAGACTGCGAAGAATTTTAAAAAAATCTCACAAAACTAAGTGATTGGGCAACAAAATGGCAAATTTTGTGAGAAATTTGAAATTTAATGAGTATAAATGTAAAGTAATGCACATTGGAAAAAATAACCCTACTATACATACAATATGGTGAGGGCTAATTTAGCTACAACGAATCAGGAAAAAGATCTTGGAGTCATTGTGTATAGTTCTCTGAAGACATCCACGCAGTGTGCAGCGGCAGTCAAAAAAGCAAACAGGATGTTAGGAATCATTAAAAAAGGGACAGAGAATAAGATGGAGAATATCATATTGCCCTTATATAAATCCATGGTGCACCCACATCTTGAATACTGCATACACATGTGGTCTCCTCATCTCAAAAAAGATATACTGGCATTAGAAAAGGGCAACTAAAATGATTAGGGGTTTGGAACATGTCCCATATGAGGAGATATTAGAGGCTAGGGCTTTTCAGCTTGGAAAAGAGGAGACTAAGGGAGGATATGATAGAGGTCTATAAAATCATGAGTGGTGTGGAAAAAGTGAATAAGGAAAAGTTATTTACTTGTTCCCATAATATAAAAACTAGGGGCCACCAAATGAAATTAATGGGCAGCAGGTTTAAAACAAATAAAAGGAAGTTTTTGAGTTTTTGGCTAACTGTTCTTCAAACTCCTTTTTGGCTTTCCTTCTTACATTTTTACACTTAATTTGGCAGTGTTTATGCTCCTTTCTATATACCTCACTAGGATTTGACTTCCACTTTTTAAAAGAAGCCTTTTTATCTTTCACTGCTTCTTTTACATGGTTGTTAAGCCACGGTGGCTCTTTTTTAGTTCTTTTACTGGGTTTTTAAATTTGGGGTATACATTTAAATTGAGCTTCTATTATGGTGTCTTTGAAAAGTGTCCATGCAGCTTGCAGGGATTTCACTCGAATCACTGTAACTTTTAATTTCTGTTTAGTAAATTGGTGAAGTGGCCTTCGGGTTGAGCTCTTTGTGTCTGTTCCTTTGCAGCTGTGGGACCTAAGGCAGACAAGAAGCCGAGTGCGTGAGTACAAGGGGCATTTCCAAACCACAGCATCCTGTGTCTTCCTTCCCAACGGTGTGGGTCTGATCCCAGTCGTTGCCACTTCATCACATGACTGCATGGTGAAGGTCTGGAACCAAGACAGCGGAGGTACGGCCTCGAAATGTGACTTAGGGCTTGGCTACACTTGCGAGTTAGAGCGCATTAATGCAGCCCCGGGCGCCCTAACTCCTGACCCATCCACACTGGCAAGGCACTTAGAGTGCCTGGACTCTGCAGCTGGAGCGCTCCTGGTAATTCAGCTCCACGAGAAGCATAGCACTTGCTGCGCCTTGGCTGAAACGCCCAAGCGTCAGTGGGAACAAGATGTTCCATCACTGCACTCTGATTGACCTCCAGAAATGTCCCATAATCCCCTTAGGTCAAGTGGCCACTCTTTTCATTGTTTTGAACTCAGCTGTAGGAATGCAGATATGCCCTTTCAAAGCTCCGTTTCTGACATCCCTATGCTTATCTGCTCCAGGACAAAGCAACCATTACTGAGGAATGCTGCTTGCTTTGAGTGAGTGAGAGAGAGGCCAGGGGGGAGGGGGGATCTACTGCTGTCTGAACTTACAAGACAGCATGCTGACACACTCTCAGCTCCCCAAAAACCCACTCTTCCCCCACATACACACAACACACTCCCTGTCACACTCCACCCCCCACCTCCGCATTTGAAAAGTATGTTGCAGCCACTTGCACACTGGGATAGCTACCATAATGCATGTTGCAAGACCTGCTAATGTGGCCACATCAGTGCGCTTCCAGCTGAGAGTGTAAACACAGGGTAGCATTTTCCCTGCTGTGGTCTCCGAAGGCTGTTTTAACTCCCAGCACTCTACATCTGCAAGTGTAGCCATGCCCCTGGGAGGAACCACGTATTGATGGGGTGTTAAAACGTCCCTCTTTATTCCTCTCTCAGATGGTTGGTGATGTGCTACTGAGCCTTTATCCCAGCAGTCCCCAAACTTTGGAGGGTCGCGCCTCCCTTACCCATGTCCATACCCCTCCTCCCCGGGGCGAGGAGTGGGGATATGGCTCTGGGTGGGTGGGGGGACACGGAAAGGGTTAAGGGGGCCAAGGCTGGGGCCTCAACTGGGGATGGGTCTGGTGCTGGGAGCCATAGAGGAAAAATTTGCCAAGTTCTCCGCCCCCGCTCAAATTTGCCTCTGCCTCCTCCCCTGAGCACGCCGCATCCACGCTTCTCCTCCCAGCACTTGCCACTGCGAAACAGCTGTTTCATGGCGTAACAAGCTCTGGGAGGAAGGGGGGAGGAGCGGGAACACAGCGTGCTCAGGGGAGAAGGCGGGGAAGAGACTGGGACGGGGCGCGGATTTGGGGAAGGAGTTGAAATGGGGGCGGCGCAGGGGCAGGTCAAGAACTCACCGGCATCAGCAGGGCCACGGCCAGGAGCGGAATGGAGCTGCAGCTGGGCCTGTGGCCAGGTGCAGCTCCACTGCTTGCCTCGGCCCCAGGCCGGGAACGAAGCCGCAGCCAGCAGCTGAGGCTGGGAGCTGGCAGGGGCCGGGAGTGGAGCTCCGGCCGGGTGCAGAGCTGCACTGAGGCTGGGGATGGGGATGCAGCTGGGGGCAGGAAGGGGCTGGGTGGTGCTCCCTCCACACCGCCCATGGGGGCTGGCCTGGGCCCCACCACGCCCTCCCAGATGCTCCTCCATGCTACCATGGAGTGTGCACCCCACAGTTTGGGGACCTCTGCTTTATTCTGTAGGTCCCTGACCCAGATCCAGCCTATGGGGTTTTGACAGAAATGGCTATTTCGTGACCTGTGATAAACAGCTTGGACTCAGTTTCTATATCACAAAAATAATGAGTGCTCAGGTTTGTAGCCTCGGAACTCAGTCGCATCCTGATTAAAGTGAAAGGATGCTATAAAGCGTGCAGTTTTACAGATGAGACAGTCCGGCAGCTGGGAGGACAGGATAACATATGAAAGGAAATGCCAAGGTGTTGTCCCAATTGGACTAGATGCTGTAATTGAATTTTGGAGCCAGGGCCTGGTTACTAAACATTCCCGCTCACTTTGGTTGATGTTCGCAGGGCTGGCTCTAGGCACCAGCAAAGCAAGCAGGTGCTTGGGGCGGCACATTTGCAGGGACGGCAGGGATCCAGCATAGGAGCTAAGAACCAACAGGCGGCCCTGGAAGCTGTAGTTCCTTGGTTAGCTCCCTGCCTATAGAGCCAACCCTGGAGCAGGGAAAGAACTACATTTCCCAGCATTCCCTTGGCCGCTATCAACAGGAAAGGGAGGGGGAGGGAGTGAGGTAGCTGAGACCTCATGCTGCAGCTTGCTGTGAATGGAGAGCTCACTGCTAGAATGGGGTGGCACTATGAACAGTAGGGTTACCATAATTAACATTCAAAAAAGAAGTATCAGAGGGGTAGCCGTGTTAGTCTGAATCTGTATAAAGCAACAGAGGGTCCTGTGGCACCTTTGAGACTAACAGAAGTACTGGGAGCATAAGCTTTCGTGGGTAAGAACCTCACTTCTTCAGATGCAAGTAATGGAAATCTCCAGAGGCAGGTATATATCAGTGTGGAGATAACATTGTCATTGTCTTTGGGGAACATGACGTTTTTCACCTGCTGTGGCCCATGCAGTACAAGGAAGTCCCTCAGGCTACTGCTCAAGTGGGTCCACCGTCCTGGATCATCTAGATTGTCCTCTGGGGCAGCATTCAGAAAAAGAAAGAAAGCAAAAGAAGCTTTTCTATCTAAATTTAAGGAACTAAACTCAGC